GTAGCTCATTTGAATCATGTGTTTAATTAATAAACCAATCAGTGTGTCCTGGGCAGGGTTTGTGTGTGTGTGTGTTTGATGTGTATGTGTATAGTGTGTGAATATGGTATACCTGTGGTATGGTTGTAGTGTTTGTGCACGCATGAGGTTCTGTGGGTGGTTCAGCCTCGATTAGATGCCCAGCCACGTGTTCAAGATGGAAAGAGAACCATGTTGGTCTATGGAATAAACAAGATTTCTGTAAAGGAAGAGAGTAGTATTTTACTATAAATCCTCACATTTATCAGTAAATCTGGAAATTTTTACTTTAGTTCAGGCTAGTTCTGAGGAGGATAGTGTGTCCTTCCCCACCGCTCTTGTCCCTAGGCCTCATTAGCTTTTTTGTCTTTTCTGATGTGTTTCTTATTCTGAGACCTGTGTCTTATTCTGAGATGTCTTCCCAGCATATAGCATGGAACATGGCACACACAGTTGGTGTTCAATAAACTCTTATCAGGGAACTCAATGGATAAGAATAAGTAGAATGGGGCAGAATTATAGACCAGCCTGGTGGTATTATCCTATGTAGGACCACACTTTAGAGCTGTGCCATTGATAGGAAACTAATCAAGGGCTAGGAGGAGCAGAGGCTTGGCATTACTGTGTGCACCTCATACATGAATCCAAATGCATATTCATATGAGCCCATATGCATGATTAAATTGGGAAGCTGACAGGAAGCAGTCAATCTGTTGAGCAAGTTTCTGTTTTATAAACCAGATGTTCAGTGTTATTATTCATCATTTCCTTTGATACCAGAATGCTCCCCATTATGTAGAATAGGAAATGAAGAATATGGAATAATATACACTTATTATACAACAGAGCCCCACAACCAAGTATTTCAGAGGACTGTTCGAAGTCTGGACAAGTGTAATTGAATGGTAGTTCATTGTAGGATTTCCACTTGGGCTTCAGCTAATGGGATTTTGCCCAGATGGACCATAGTGACCCTCCCCCACCCTCCCCACCCCCACCACACATACACACTCCTACCCTTTGGAAATGAATGTTGACTCTATGTCTGAGTTTTTCTTGGAAGCCACATATATGAATCATAAGCAGCACCCTGGCTTCTGCAGGCTCTACAGGGTAGAGGGTCACAGAAAATCAGGGACCCCCTAGTGTGGGGGGACAGAGGGTGTCTGGCTGCATAACTTCTGCTTGGTGGTCTGGAAAAAAAACTTGCCATTGGCTGCTATTTCCTATGGCAGGAGTACAGAATGCCTTTTGATCGTAAAGTGCTTACAGTGCAAATTAACTTTTAAATTGATGTTCCTTCTCCATGAAATGTTTAAGAGTCACAGAACACAGAGCTCTGGAGACTAAGAAAGATGGAATTGGTGGGTGCAGAAGAGAGACTTAATGTTATGCAAGTGGTCTTTTCAGAGTCCTGTCAACCCCATGGTCATACTGATGAACTGGTTCTCATTGGGAAGGCTACGGGTCAAGGTTCTGCCTAAACTGTTCCAAATCTGGGCCAGTATACCTCTAGGAGAGGAGCTTGTAAGCTCAGAGTACTGGCCAACCTCTCAGCATTTCATTTGTTTACCTGGGGCTGGTTACAAGTGAGTGGTTTCAATACAAATGCAATATGATTTTTTTTCTTAAGTAATAATGTAGTAATTACATTTGGAATTAGCCCCTCAGTAAAGTCAATACTGTATTCTGGCTTAATATCTGGAAGTTAGCTTCCCATGAAGCTAGCCTTTGCCAGGACAATTACCAGTGATTTATAACTGATTTTTACTGGTTGCAGGAAAAAAGCTTCATTTCTCATTATTGTCAATGGTATGTAATTTGATTTCATCCATGATGCTTGTTGGCATTGCTTGAAATTTTGATTTGAGTTGCAGGGTGGAAGTTGCCCGACATTATAGATTAACACAAATCAGGCTTCTTTGCAACATTAAGGAAAAATAAAGGAGTCAGAATATGGGAAGATACCTCATTCTAAATGTCTAAGAGACATTTTCCATGGGTTGATTCTTGCTTTGGAAATAATCATTCGTGGCAGCAGTGGCCCTAGTATACTATCAGTATCCTCAGCAAGAGGATGGAGCCATGTTTCCTTAAGTTGTCACATACTGGTTCACTTGTTTCATGATGAAGTAACTGTCAACATCATCTTACAGTTAATATTACTTGGTTATTGCCATTATGATAAAGTATTGTTTACTTATTCTAACACCCACCACAGGATATCTATATACGTATGTATATATGTGTCTATCTCTCATCTAACTATTCTTGAGCTATATGCACACATGCCCATGCATTATAAACATGCATGATGTGCATATGCATGCATCTATATACCTACATGCACGCACACATGTTATACACACATGCATGAAGAAAGAAGAGAGATTTCCTTTTAAGAATTGCCCTATGCAATTATGGGAGCTGACATGTCTAAAATATGTAGGGTAGGTGGGCAAATTGGAATTTCAGCAAGAAGTGATACTGCAGTTTTGAATCTAAAGATATTCTGAAACAGAAATTTTTCTTCCTTAAGGTAACTGGTTTTTCTCTTACGGTCTTCAGTTAAGTGGATGAGGCCCAGTGACATTATGGAGGATAATTGGCTTTATCAATGTACACTGATATAAATGTTAATCACATCTAAAACATGTTTTCATAGGAACACTTAGACAGTTTGATCAAGAGCTGGGCACCAAGACATAGCCAAATTTGTAACTGTCATACCATGAAGTCCCTCTTTGAGGGACTTTGAGATTCTTGTCTCATCTTGCTTGTCAGAGGGGATTGTAGCCCTGTCTGGATACACTGCAAATCTAATAAAACATGGGCCTCACCAATCCTTTTAGGAGTTTTGCCCAGGAGCTGTGAATTTTTCTCTGTAGCTGTCTTGACTATTAATGGGGATGGGAAGCAAAATTACAAAATTTCTAGAACTTTAATATGCATGCTAATTATTAAAATAAAGATTCAATTTCAGAGGGCCTGGGGTAGGGTTTGGGATCATGCTTTTCTAGTGCACTCCAGGACCACTGTCTTAAGCTCCTCATAACAAGCAGCGAGACCCTAGAACTTGAATCTTTTGGAAGAACAAGATTGGTGGAAGGTGATTGAATCTGACGGATGATTTTTACTCGCAAAGTCAGCCAGTACATGCGGGCTTCAGCACCTTTTGTCTTGAACTAGCTGGCAATGTCTCTCCCTTACCACTCAGTTGGCCACGCAACTAACTGTACAGGTGCTGTGCCCAGTCTCGGCGGAGAACTTGGAAGGTTTACATTCTTCTTTCTTGGAAAGCTGAGGAACTGAGTCATCTTCTACAACCTATCCTAGCCCAGCGGGGCTCTCCTATTCAAAGGCAGGTCCTTTGAACCGTGTCCAGTCTTCAGCAGCTGGTGCCTTCGTCTTCAAATTCAAATGGCAGAAATACTCACAAAACAGTTGTCTTATACTAATATAAACATTTAAAAAATAATAAAGTGATGACAAAGTCCTTTAAGATCGGAAAACATTCTAGGTTAGAAGTAATGGATCCTCATTCATGGAGCGCATCATTTGAACCTGAATGGGCTGCGGAGCCAGAAAGTACCTCTCTCCCAATGGACTGACCTAGCCGGTTTTATTGCCCAGCAGCGGTGCGCAGGCCTTGCTCGTACTTTGGACTCTGCTACTTACTAGTCATGTTACCTTGAAGGCAGGGAAAGAAACAGCATCCTTCGAGCCTCCCATCTGCCAGGTGCCATACTGGGAAGTTCCTCCAGTTTTATTTTCATGGCAGCACTGTTGGGGAATAATTGACATTATTTCATATGAAAATATGGAAGCTTAGCACGTGCAGTTAACAAAGAATTAAAGTGAGAATTAGAAGCAGGTTTGTCTTTTTTTAAAAGATTGATTTGTTTATGCATACAGAACTGGGGTACAAGCCAGAGGGCAGGGGCGGTGAGAGGCTTCACCAGAGACAGAGTGGGGAGCACAGCAGGCAGATTGATGATGTACACTGCTAAGGGGAGCAGCGTGCTGGTCAGGAGGGGTCTGCCGCGCCATGTGGATCAGCTCTGAGGCCGGGGATCAAACTCACATTGAAGCATCTACAGCTGCTTGCTGCGCTGCGTCCTAACCCATTGCACCACCAGGGAGGGCCCAGAAGCAGGCTTGTCTTAGCTCAGAACCTGCTGTTCACAAGTCTCTGTCTTCACGTTTGTTATTGGGACAGTGCAGGGCTGTGTGTCTGTCCTTCTGTGAAAGTAAGTGTACTGCTTCACTGCATTGGTGGTTTCAGTGCATTTCTCTGCAATTCAGAGGGTCACAGAAGCCTTTCAAGACATCATCTTTTAGGAGAAATGTTTTGCTTCTTAGTGATTTTAGGGGTCAGATCATCAAGTTTTGTTTGTTTTCCCCCTGGGACTGGCATTCAGACATCTGTAAAAGTCCAAAACAGATCTTACTCAACTACCTGGCGGAGAACAAATGCTTCCAGATTCCATCATTTCCAGCAGAGGCAACTCATAAAACCTGTAGTCTCCTGCTTGCTTAGCCTCAATTTTCAGATTAAGGATAAGTATTAATATTGCAAATATTGAACATAAATACCTGCAAAGTAAGAATAGTAAAAACAACCCAGGTGATAAACAACACTAACAAGGAAAAAAAAAATTTGCCAAAGCACTAAGATCCACAAGGAATTATTTGAACCAAAATGACTGAATGCAGTTAAGAGAGCCCCTGGAGTGACTGATGGTGACCCACCTGGGGGCTGGGGTCCCAGCTGCACACCAGTGGGGGAGGGGGTAGGCATTGCCCTCTCTCCTGGGCTAAAGGCTTGGCATGAGCACAGGCCCATTCCCAGTCACCCTGGTCAGAAAGAGGGAACTGTTCAAGGCACCCTGGTTAGAAAGAAGGAGGTGTTCAAGGCAATGGCCTGTGGCACTGTACTTTCTAGGCTGTTCTCAAGTAACTGGTTTTCTCTCTCCATACAGCTTGCGGATGATCAGGGCCTCGTCCTGATGACCACCGTGGCTATGCCTGTATTTAGTAAGCAGAATGAAACTGTGAGTACAGTGACTGTGCTTCCTGCTTGATGCTAGAGAGGTTCTTTTCTCAGACTCTGACACAAGCTTGGTGGCATTCATCTATTGTTTTATCCATCTATCTGCTTGTCTGTCCATTTCTCCATCCATCTCTCAGTCCATCCATGTGTCCATCCATCCACCCATCCACCCATCCATCCACCCACCCACCCATCGACCTATCATCTATTTAAAGGATAGAAAGTATATGATTTTCCCTTATTTTTAATCCTGCTGTTCAGAATCATGAAATCAAACGTAGATGAGAATTCAAGCAGGCATCATTTTACAATATTCAGCACTTTCCCAAAATGTAAGTGTTAAAATGACTGAAGAAAGGAAAACCTCAGAAAGAGTGAATCCTTTTGACCTCTCTCTGAGAGGCAGTGACCAGCCCTATATTACTTTCCCAGGTTTATGATAAAGTGCCACAAATAGGTGAGCTTAAAACAACAGAAATTTATTCTCACAATTCTAGCAGCTGAAAAGTCCAAAATCAGGGTGTGAGCAGGGCCTGCTGCCACTGAAAGTTCTAAGCAAGATCCTTCCCTGTCTCTCCTGTGACCCCAGATGTTCCTTTGTTGGCGGCAGCATAACCCCAACCTCTGCATCCATCTCCACATGGCTTTCTTCACCTGAGTGTCTCTCTGTCCTCTCCTCTGCTCATAAGATGGTTATAGGACCCATCTTAAATCCAGGATGATTTCCCAAGATACCTTTAACTTATTATATCTGCAAATACCCCATTTCCAAATGAGGTCACAGCCTGAGGATCTGGGTACACTTGACTTTGTATCTTCTGGAAGATCTTTCTGATACTGGGAAGTCTCAGCACATCACACTGGTGGTAGAAACTTGGACCCTGGAGACCTGTTCCTTCACTAGTCCTTGGTCCCAACTTGCTGCTAAAAATGTTAGGATTATAATATCTTTCTCTGGCTATCTCATGTCTCTTTCCTGGGCACCAGGTGGCAGTGTAAATTGAGACAGTAGTTAACATGCTAACTCTTTTCTGTGGAAAGCTTCCATAAAAGAAACTGATTAATTATCATAGTCCTTAGCTGCTGAAACTTTTGCGCTTCCTCACATCAAGTTTTAGGTTTTGGGCAAGAGAAATGATTTACTAAGGTACCATTTCTGTATGAGTGTGTTTTAAATTATAGTAGGTAATGTTTAACCTGACTGCATTCTGAGCTAACAGAATTTGGGGTAAGTGTGAGTGTGAGGCTGGAAGAGGGTCCTTGGGAATCTTTCAGTTTGGAGAAACCTCCAGGTCATTTCCACAATGTGTGAATAATCACCAGGTGATAGTTATTCTACTAATCAGTGCACTATTTGTAATGCTTCTTCTCAACAGAGATCAAAGGGCATTCTTCTGGGTGTGGTTGGCACAGATGTCCCTGTGAAAGAACTTCTGAAGACAATCCCCAAATACAAGGTAATGTGTCACTTAACTAATAGCTAAGGGTCAAATATCCCAAGATAATTCTACCACCCGCTGTGGCAGTGAGGAACATCACAGTGCAGGTGTTCTTGCCCTCTTTTCTGAAGGGCTTTATTATTTGACAGTCATCCGTGGCAGGCAGAGTGCACCTGCCTGCACCTATCCCGGTCTGTGTGGGCCCATGAATGTCCCCACAGGCTCTGAAGTCTCTGGAGACCTAACATCTCTGATGGTCTTCTAAGCCAGTTCTTAGCCACCTCTGTCTCTGTCTAAAGAGTCTAAAATCTAATACTTCTTACCAGGAGCTCAATGCAGCACAAAGGAAATGTTCCTTATTCCAGAAGGTGATGAGGTATAAATTAATAAAGTTAAGCTGAAACCTACAGCACTAAGAGAATTGTAAAATTGTTTTAAGCTCGGGTTGCATTTGAGAGGGTAGAGTAGGAAATTTTGGAATAAAGAAGATAGAGCAGGTTTTGATAGGTCACTGCTTTGGGAGTTTAGGAAAGCCCACTGTAAGGTGGACCCAGGAAAAGGCACATTTGATGGCAGAGAGAGAGGTGGAAATGCCAGCACTGCCCTGAGAGAGCAGCAGGGCTACGTGTAGCTTGTCCTGTGTCCCCAGCACTGTCCCTGGCACCTCTGCTTCCGTTTATTTAGTTCTCTTTCATCTGGGACAGAGGGACTCTCGTAGGCTGTTACCTTGCCTCCCTGGGATAGACCTAACCCGTCCTCCATGAGAACAAGCGCCTGAGTGCTACACAACTTCCAGTGTTGTATGGACAAGAGGCTGCCCTGCCCACCCCGTGCACCAGCACAGGTGACATACAGTTGACATGGGGGCAGGAGCCACGATGACTTCCCTGGGGATGACATTAATTGGCATTTATGTTCTTTGACTCTTTGAGGTGTGATGTGTAATTAAATAAGCATTTTAATGAAGCCAGAGCAAGAGGCTTGACAGTAGCCAGGCCTCTACTGAAGGCAGGCCTCTCACTCGAGTCCCTGGCCGAGTGGAGTGTCAAGTGTGGCTGTGCTCATCACCCCAGTGCGTGTCAATTTGTATCCCCTACACAGTCACTGAGCAGTATTTTTGTTAAATTGGATCATGTTTTCCTTTGTCACCTCCTCTCACCCCTGCCTGCCCTATCTCATGTGAAGTGGTAGGTTCATATGTGATCATTCTATTTTTCTAGCAGACCCAGGTTAGCCAGCGGGGTGTCCAGACTCTGTTTTGTGAATCTGCTGTGCCCAGAGTCATCCTTTAAAAAGAGATCTCAGGTGTCCTTGAGCCCCTTGCAGAGAACGCTCACCTGTCTTCTAGTGGGGGCTCCACAGCAAAACAAATCAGTAGGTTGAGAGAAGAGAGTTCCCTCAAGCCTACTGCAACAGGGTGGAACAGACTCAAACTTCACCCTGTGGAAGTTGGAAATAAAGAAGGGGCAGGAAGATAGCAGCCCCCCCCCCATCATCCCATTGGGGTCCCAAGAGGAGCACATGGGACCAGCAGGCTTCCCTGACTGCAGGAGGCTGACAGCACACTTGTCTCCTGGCCCCCCAGTACCAGCTTCCCTTTCCATTTCTGGCCACTGTGGGTTGATGAGGCCCGTCTCTGTCACCACCTGGAGGGAGATAACCAACTAGAGGCCAAGAATCCAAGATGAATGGCTTCTGGCCAACACCTTCCCTGAGACACTGAACCCATTCACTGCAGTTGTGAGGGGCTGTGGGCCTTCCTGGGCTTCAGCAGGAGGAAGGCGGCAGCCAGAGCTGTGCTTTCAGATAAACTCCAAACTTGAGAAGCTGGGTCTATACTTATTCCTGAAATCCTTTAGTTTCTCTCCTGTCCAGTGGTAAAAACAACAGGATCTGCTAGTAAACCTTAGCAAAGCTTTGGCCACCGTCCTAAACTGGGAACAGTGGTAGTACAGTGGTCAAGGAGACTGGTGTGGCTGTGGCCTCTGGATCCCCACAGCCCTCTGTCATATGGGGTGCTGCCTGATTAGGGTTGTTGATACCTTTCCCATCCCAGATTCAACCACCAGCGGGTTTCATGTCCACTGAAACTTTCTCAACCTAATAAGCCCAACAGAGTGATGAGTTCCCTGAGTAACTGACTAAGTCACCACATAGTCCTCTGCACCTTTAAAAATGGGGTTTTCCAAGAATTTTGATAAACTTGGGAAAGGCTTATGATAAGGCTTATGTTGTAAGGTCATTTGCATTAATTTGATAGTGAGCACAGGGCTGGTGCTTGCCCACATTTGATAGAGGGTTGGGAGTAGAGCAAGGGACTGGATCAACCTACGTTGCAACAGACTTGTCCAAACAAGAAGCTTTAACAGAAGCTGTAGCCAAAATAGTCATCTTACCCTTCAGATGATTGGATGCAAAATGAGAGATGCAGGAAACTGAAAGCACCCTCTTGTGGTTCAAGACAGGGTGCCCAATGGTACAATATTAACAGAGAACACTTGTGAAATCCTGGGCAATGTACATGTACAGGCCCCACGTCGTGTTACCAAATCCCCACAGGTAAATGCAGTGATGTGGATGTACCCTCCCATGGGAAGCCTGGTTCTCATGCTTACCTTTGCAGAGTGTGGGGCCGCACAGCAGGAAGTAGTGATCGGTGACCTGCGATTCCTAGACCCACATGCTTAAATCCCACCTCAGCATGCACGTGAACTTCAGGACTTGTTGCCCTGTTCACACGCCAGCTGTGCCAGTATTTGCTTACTCTTCCTTTTGGTAATCGATTCAGCACTCGATCTACTTAAATCAGCTTTAATAGGAAATGCCATCACCATCTTAAAAGAAAAGTTAGAGGGTTTTTTGTTTGTTTGTTTGTTTGTTTTTACCATCATAGAAGCAAATCATTTTAAAAGTCATGCAGACAAAATAACATGAAGTGATGTGTTGATAATCTATGGTTCTGAACTTGAGGGCTCTTTTTCTTTTTTTAAAGTGGAATTACATGCAATTGTTAAAGATACACTAAATGGAACCTTTTTTTTAAATGTAATTGCAAAGTTGAAAGGAATTTTAGAAAGGACTAAATCTCACTAGTGGCTCTGGGTAGTAGGTTTAATGGGAAACCCGCATGCCACCAGAAATCATCTTGTTATAGTCTCCATTTTTCCTAGGAAAGCCAAATGATCTGTGAATGATGGAGATCTGAGGAGTGAGGAACAAGGGGGACGGTGCAGGCTGGGGCTCTGGGTGCCTTGTCTCCTGGGAGTCCCCTCTGACTTGAGCAACAGCATCATTTCCACCATCCATAAACCCATACTGTATCTCCCCACCCACGTTTGGTCTAAGCCTTGGGAAAGTCCTTTGATTGGTTCTTCCTAGAACTTCCATTCCAGTCCTCAGCACCTGGCCCACCCCTCCAGGGGAAATTTTTTGCACAATGCGGATACCATTTAGCTGATCAAATTGGAGGCTTCTTTTCTTCCAACCCCCCTTTTTTGATTTTCGGAACTTTTGGGGTTCCGGGGATTGAGGTTTAGTTTTTTTTTTTTTTGGGGGGGGTGTCAGGGGTGATTTTGGGCTCCAAAGATGGTGGACTTCATTGTTACTGAAATTCCCAGACCTAGGTGTCCAGAGTTACCTGTACTATTTAAGGAAGAGAATTCTACCTTTAAATAACATCTCTAAGTAATTCTTTAGCCTCTTATTTGATGTCAGAAAATGCTAACAAGTATACAAAGAACCCAAGTGCAGCATCACTACTTGACATGTGCCCAATAAATCAAGAAAGTGTGAATCTATTATAACTTTTTGGTGGTAACCTGAGTCTTTCTCCAAGTTTCCTCTGCCAGAGATGTGCTTATCTTTTAATAGTATTATCTCACTGACTATGTGAGCATGGCTCTTCACCTTACTTAAGACTGAAGATACTGAAACACAAAAAAAGTTTAAATGTCTTGCCATTTAATGGAAAGACACTCAGAGTGCAGTTGGGAAAGCCATGATTTTAGCTTCTACAACTCTGATGTCATTAAGAACAGTAAATGACAATAATAACAGCAATGCTTGAAATAATAATGAAAATAATCTTAATAGATACAATAAAGTACTGTATATATGATCCTTATTGCATTCCTAGGAAGAGGGTATCATTTGATGGCACCAGTTTTAGTAGACCTGACTTGCTCAACATGAGTCAGCTGTTTATGAAAGACCAGTGTAACAGAGTATGATGAGACTATAGAGGAAATGCAGCTATAGAAAGTTAGCTAGTGGAGCTGACATACTGAAACTTCCATTTTTCACGTTCCTAAGGGTCACACTGGGGCTATGATGTCCATCCTGTCGCCCACAAAGAGCCCTGGGCAAAGGTGTGCTCCCCAGCCAGCGTCAGCCATGACCGAACCCTCTCCATACAGGACAGGGAAGCTCAGGGAACAAAGTGCAGGTCACCCCTTTCCTTCCTGTTAACACCTTGTAAAAGATGAGTGAGCTCTTGGCTCTTGGGGTTTTCCAAAAGATAGAATTCTTTCTTTTCCCTCAGCTCCATAGATTTTCCCACAAGTGATCAGACTTCTTATAATTTTTATTAAGAATTCCAGACACCCCAGCAATAATTTCCAGACACCACAGCCTCTGTTAACATAATGAGCCATTTTATAATTGGGTTCAGTTCATTAGCCCAAATTCTCTGCTTGGAAGACAAGCTCCTCCCTCCACAGGCACTTGGCCTACGCGGCTCTGGGCTCCTGGAGAGCATGTCCAGCAAGTCCAGGACCAGGGCCCTTGGCAGGCCAGCCACTGCAGGGCCTGGGTCTGCTCTGTTCTCTAGTACCCCATGGACTGCACTTAGAATTGATAAGAAGACTGGCTCTATTTTGGTTGAAGTGAAAATTAGAGATTTCATCAGTATATAAATTTGTGGCCAAAACCAAATGTTGGACATTGTCATGTTATATATATGCTTTTGGTTTTCAGAGAGATTCATCCGCAGAATATGCTTTGAGATTTGTCCAGAGTTTCCCTTTTTACATCTACACTAGGTTAGGCCCATATGCCACCAAACAACCAACAAAACATCCTGATGGTATTTTCCTGTACTGTTGTTCAAGAAAGGATTTTAAGCAGATAATTTACTGATGATCAGAGGAACTTTTGCAAGTAGCGTTTTGAGACAGACTGCCTGTATGGCTGCCTTAGCAAATCAGTTTCTCCTTTTTTCCTCATTTTCAATTTTTTTTTTAGCTTTAGATTTAGAGGTGGGGTACATAATATTTGATTAAAGTGGCAAATGTCTTAAGTACATGTACATCATAGCCAGACATCTGCCATTCACCAGCTATGTCACTATGGAAGTCAAAAATGGGAAGATGGCCTTTTTTCCCCACCAGAGCCCCATTCTGATGAGGGAGGTCATAACTTATCTAAAACAAGGCAGAGGAATGAAGGAGAGTCAGCTAGGACTGAGAGGCAGGAATATTAAGGGTAGCATTTTCATGTGTTAGGGTAAAGGTAATAATGGAAAGACACTCAGAGTCTTATGGAAATGTGATATAGAAAGGAGGAAGCAAAGGGAAGGATGGGAAGAGACTTTTTACAAAAGGTGGTCAGGTTGATCTGACAGCATGGGCGAGAATTAGCTAGGGGGAATTGGAGGAGGGGTGTTGCTCCAGGCAGCTGGCACTGTGAGAGGTAAGGCCTGAATGGGACAGAAAACTGCAGGAGGGCTGTTGCAGCCATGTGCCCTGAAAAAGAGTGAGTGGAGAGATGCAGGGCTGGGCACTCAGGTAGGGAGCAGACTCCAGGAAGCCCTGATGGACAGGCCCATGGATTCCATCATACAGGTAAAGTGGCCTTTGGTTTATTTTACAAAGGGGAAAAACAGGGCCAGTTACCTTGGGCTCTGGTCAATCTGGAGAATGACTTTTTGGAGATTCAGAGTCGAATAGGAGTACTTTCTGGAAGAAAAGTGGTGACTTTGATGGCATAATGGTTGTGAAAGAGAAAGAAATCTTGTGAGTCCTATGGGTGGTGGTGATGATCAGCACAAAGGGAAAGAGTGTCAGCTTGGATGGGGTGGAATGAGAGGGTCCAGAGGTCCAAGTAGAGCTGAACATTTGGATCCACCATGGAGGGAACAGGTGAAGGCTGGAACCCAGTGTAGGGATCAACAGTGTCCAGATGGCTGCTAAAGATTATTGCAAGTGAGGAGAACAGTGGGGACAAACACTCAGGGTGCCTGGGTGGGTGGGGGATGAGGATGCTTTGGAAAATAGGGCCTGAAAAGTAACAAGGAGGAAGGGCAGTCAATCAGTACAACAAGAGAGCAAGAGAATACGTTCTACAGGGTTGGCAATTCAGAGACAATGGGCAGCTTTTGAGAAATGAATTCTGGTGGCACCTCTGTGGGTGTGGGGTCAGGCAAAAGTAGACTTGACTTTGAGGGATGAATGAGCAATACAGAAGCAGAGATGAGAGTTGAACAGTGCTTGGGGGGTTTTGAGCTGTGTGGTCAGCTTGGCTCTGATTCCAGGAAAGGAAGCCAGCCTTTGGCCTAGCGGTATAGGATCTAAGCTCATTTAGTTACTTTTGCTGTCTGTCTGCTTCCTCCTTTGCCTTTTTCTTCTTTCCCTCCCCCTCTTTCTTCAACCCAACCACACCTTCCATGTATTTTTAAAAACATGCTGTGATCTTGGCCCTCATGGGACTTATCTAGTGGGGTGAGACATTCAATAATCAAAGGCCTTGACTGATGTCTTGATTACTTATTGTCAACCTCACACAGAATTGATTATCATTTTGATAAATGCTCTGTGAGAAAAGTAGTGGTCATTAAGACAACTTGTGCAAGGAGTTCTACCTTCTTTTGAGTATCACTTTCTACAGGCAAACCAAGAATGAAAGCCTAGCATGTACTTTCAAAGGAACTGAATAGATGCACTGACTAAAATATTGTCTCTTTGGTCTCATTTTGAGCTGGAATTTCCAGTCGATATCCACTTTTGCCTTTAAAGGAAAAAGTCAAAGTCTTGGAGTCCTTTTTGACCCCTCCACTCTGTAGCTGGGACATAATAATGGTAATTAATGCAGTGTTGACTGTGTCTGACATTTTTCCAAGAGAGGAGATGAAAGAGACAATATACATCTCAAAGGATAGGAAATCTCTGGTTTATCTTTCATAGCATAATGAAATATACTTTTATCATTAGAGTCAAGTAGAATCTTATTAAGACTTGCTGTGCACGGTAACTGCAGGAGAAAACGTCTGTTGCCCTTGACGACCGCATGCATATTTGCTTTATGTAATGCAAGGGAAACTTTTAATTGCCGGTGTTAAATTCTCTGAAGTTAATTTCACATCACCTTGACGTTAAGCTAACAAGCAGACAGGGTCATTCTTGGTTTGTAAACTCTGTTGTCTGGATCATTTAATAGTATCATATTCAAGAATGTAAGCGGCAGCAAATTTTTAAAGAAAAGTTACAATGAGGGCTCAGAACTATGAAATAACTCCTCGTGAAAAAAAATTGAGTTTTTTTCTTCTCTTCTTTCACTGCTCTGGCAAAAGTGGGTTACATTTTCTTTCTTCAGAGAGAGATCAGTATGGGTTTTATGCCAGAGGCCATTTTAATACATGAATGATTTGTAGGTAAATTTATTGTAGCCAATGGGTGCAGTCAACTGTGTAATAGAAATATTGTCCAAAAGCCGGGATTATTATTTAAATAAGTGCAGTGTTAAATTTGATTACATACTTTTTAAAGCTAATAAAACATTTCATTGCTCTCAAACTATTTCCCATAGTCCCATTTAGTCAGAAAACATAAATTAAGTGAGGCTCTGCATAGAAAATCACCCAGGCTTTGTGCGGATGGAAGCATGCATGCAAAAGCTTGGCCGTCTCACAGTTTAAAGACGAAAGGATGTAAAAGGGACTGGCAGGCTTCTATATGGGCTGGTGGGGACACTTTTATCCTGAAAGAATTATGGAGAATGACTACCTAGGAGATGCCTGCTTGAGAGGGCCCTGTAGGTGCCAAATCACAGGAAGTCTCGATGGGAATCGGACTGAGTGTCCCGCTCTCTCCTGGTAGCAGCAGAGAGAAGACATCAGGTTGATAAAACATTGTTCACTTGGACCTAGAGCCTTTGCAGGAACTTCAGCTACTTTCTTTCTTTCTTTTTAAATGCAATTGTTTTCATTTAAATAAATCAAAAGAAGGCCCCTTGGATGCCAACATGAGGATGTGACATTTTAAATTGTGCTATTTGCTGAGCTTATCCCGTGACAGGTCTTCATTTCTACCAAATGTCAAGGATCAGCGCCTTGCATTCATTTTAATGAAATATTGTGCTGATAAGGGCTATGAATGCCAAGTTTAAGCTGTAAATTACTAAATGTCGGCTGCTTTATGCTTTGTGAATTCACCAGGGAACAAGCTAATGAAGGTTTCTTTCTCACTTCTTCTTACAGTTAGGGATTCACGGATATGCCTTTGCAATCACAAATAATGGCTATATCCTGACGCACCCAGAACTCAGACCTCTGGTAAGAAAAACACTTATTTCTGTGTTTCTCCTTTTATGATTTTAGTAGGTTTTCTTTAGTTCTATTGTGATGTGCAGTTTTCACTTTAAAAGCTCCTAGTATTGTCTCCTGAAAGTTATTTCAATAGTTTGTGACTACTATTTTGACACATAGTAAATAATAATGTCGGATATACTTACTATCATGTTACATCTGTATTTACATATGGCATATTGATATTACTTATTTCACCCAGGCAATACATAGCCATTGTAATTCTAGACAGCTTGAAATCCATCGAATGGGTACCTTTAGAAAACAAATGTTTTCTTGCCCTCCAACCTGAGACTCAACTACTGCAAGTTATATTTGATACAACAAGTTAGACCAAAAATCTCTGAAAATTCATTATAATAGGATTTGTCCCCAGCTACATTGCCTTGAAGCTATTCCACAGTACCTGTTTTGGTGTAATGAAATGGTGGAGATTTTCTCCATTTCTCCCGCTCCTGCCGAAGCTATATCCAGTATCTTTATTTGCTGACCTGACAGGTCGATTATTTTATTTCAGCATTCTTTCATCTTCTCTAATGTGAGTAGGGTTAAGCCAGATTCAAGGTAGCCATGGTATTGCCAACCTTGGTCCCTTTGGGAAGGCTGGCAAGAGTGCCGTGTTGAAGTTTCTGGAGGGCAGTGAGAAGGCCTGGTTTATTGACGGTGTCTCCTGTGGACTCGAGGGGCAGTGGCAGTGAGTGTGCCACATGCTTGCCCTCCCTGAACTAGTTACAATGTTTTAAAAAGGGGCATCCTTTTGGATTTGTGTGTGTTTAGCTAATTTTAGGAAGATGTCAAAATAAAGATAATATACACGCCTTTGAAAGTTAAGAAAATGTAAGTCTTCTCCTATAGTAAGACACACACAGCCAGACACGCAGTCACATATGCTCATCCAGCCCACACATTTTTCTCTTTATCAAAATTAGAAAATAGCAGCAGTGCCTGCTATGCAAATGTTTACTGGCAAAGCGTGGTAGGGCTAGTTTGCTTCTCGCTTGAATCATTGTTTAGAAGGTTCATGTTCTAGCTCCATCATCATCCAACTTTGCTCTAATCACCCTGGTATTAATGGAGCCATAGCCACACCATGTGGGCCCCAGGTGCATGCTTATGGTGGGGACTTTTGGTGATATTTGATTTTAACAATCCTTTTTTTATCAGAAAAGGATTGAGTTAGCTGGTTAGCTATTTCCAAATGTAATTCAGCATTATTGAAAACTCTGATTTAAAAAACTACTAAGTTTTAAGGACAGTTAAGCCTAAAAGCAGTTAAGTCTAACAAGCGTAACACATTACCCACTTCCAAGGTGCCCAGTTAGGGTTCTCTGTTGGGCATGGTAGGAGATACATGTTTGGTGTGGCTGAGTGTGGGCTCTTGTGCCTATTTATTCCAAGCTGGAATGGGATAGAGTCAATGAAACAACCAAACCTGGATCTTCTGCCAGTGGATAAATTAACGTTCTATTTATCAGCTTTTAACAATGGAATGAAATAGAACCAGATGTTAGAAGTTACAAGGTATCTTTCCTCTCTCTGCTGCATTCTGATTGTAGCTCCCATTTGCAGAGTCCTCGCACAATGGCTTTCTGGTCTTTTCTATCTCTTGGTCATGCAGCAAATCATCTGTTTACAAAGAGTCTATTTGATGTACTTTCCAGAGCCGTAGCCACTGAAAGCACAGTTGAAAGACTCTTAGAAAAGCAAAGTAACCCAATCAACACCGATCATCTCCTGATAGTGCAAGTATTCACAAATAACAAATCATGTTTGTTTTCTCACTGTTGAAACACTGTCTGGTTTCATCAAATGTGGAAGCCAAGGTCAGGTTCCCATGAATGGGATGATCTAAGAAAAAAGCTCCACAGTTCCCTTGTAGGAACCCAAACCCCATGAACCATTTTTCAGTCAATTTTCGCAAAGAACATAAAGAATGGCCGGGGTAGTGGGCCACCTATGCTGTTCATCTGTCCATGTCTCTGAGGTCATGAGATATTTAGAAGAAACTTGAAATAATGCCAACCCTTAAGGATAACATGTGCTAGGGGCAGGGAGGCTGCCTTTACCTTGAGTTTTGCATTTTCTCCCTCGGCAAAAGATAGCAGTAAAGTGACGGAAGTGAACTTCAGGTGCTTACAGGTTGGCCTTGACTTCCAGTGCTGCCATATGCCTGCTGTGACTGAGTAACTCACAGAGACACTCACGCGGTGTACCTGGTAACCCTGTCTCAACCACGCATGTCTCTCACAGCTAGCTGTCCCCCTAAAGGGAATAGTGCTCGCTGGAGCCTTGTAAGACAACGCAGGCCTGAACACATCTTGGGAACAGCGATGGAAATGTTCAGGGATAGTGATGGCAGCACAACCCTACCTATGTTGTCCTAGCCCTGTTGAATCGATGCTTCACTGCTGAAGAGACAGGACGGACATGGTGTGATGGTAGATGGTGGTGGGGGCAATCTAAGAACATTTTTTGATTATTTCATTGGATCAGATTATTATAATAAACATAGAGCAGGATCTTGTACATCCACCCACACATACAAGTTGTCATTTTTTTTTCTTTTTACTTACTCCATTTTACAAAACAGGTAGACAGTAATTTTACTATGAGATTGTTTGTGAACACTACCAGATGAGGAAACCAAAAGATTTGGTAGTTTTCTTTTTAAGTAGCAATCGTAATCGTAATAGAAGAACAATAGGTAAGTGGCAGCCTGCATGGATGAAGTAGCCTGACTCCAGCATGGACAAGAATTTGTTCATCTCTGTTTCTCTCCTCTCTCACTGTCAGTACACCCAGCACATATTAGGGACTCGGGAGAGAGGTGATGAAGGGATCCTTCAGAGTGCTGCTTTCATTTGCACTTCTTTGGGTTTTTCTGGAGGAAGAGGTTGTGAGCTTCCCTGAACCTGGTACCCATACTAGAAATAAATGCACCCTTGCCAGAACCCTCATGTGTGGCAAGGGACAGCTGGCAAACAGCAGCTTCTGGGGTGCGCTTAGGCTGGGAATCCCACTCAGGCCTGACTTACCTTCTCCCAAGCTCAGATATATAATCAAATCATTATTCCAAGTGGGACGTTTCCCTCCATTCTGGCCAAGGCTACCATATTAGCACAGTGGGTGTGAGTGTGGGATTGTGGCCAGTGCAAGAAAATGGATCAAACTCACTTAAAATAACTCATTTTCTCTCTGTCTGCCACTGAGGTCTTTCTGCCCCTGCAGCCAGAGGAAAGAAGTGGGTTTCTCTAAAGCACAATACCAATATTTTTCTAATTTGTCCAATAAAATCTTGCCCTCGAACTTAATGTTTGGCTTGATTTTATCCAGTATTTTCTTTAATCTTGTGTGATTTGGGTGTGAATCAGGAAGTGTCTCCAAAAACAGCTCAGATATAGGAGCCTTACTCAGCAGACTTACTTTGGTTTATTTGGCAAAACGGTGAATGTAATCCTTTTCTGTTGATAACAGGGCTCTTCTTAGTCTCTCCAAGTCTCTCCACCTTGCCACCAGCTTGTGACTTCTGCTAGGCTGATCTGTCATTGATGCAAGGAATATTGATCTGGTGTGCTGGGTCCTGTGTTGGGTGGGCAGCTAACGTGGCTCCCAGCCAGTGGACTGGGGGGGACTCATAGGTGGGGTCCTATGTATTCTCTGTGTGGGGAGTAGGGTAACAGCACAGCAAGAAAAATTCAAGTTAGGCCCAGAGGAATGTGTTTTGATTAGTTCTTAGACATCTGTTTTGTTTTTTTTTTTTCCTTGTTCTTTTCTACTCTTTTACATTTGGGTTAAAGTATTTCAAACTATAGTTACCAGCTTGCTATGTTTTCTGGCATTTTGTTTTCCCCATGCCTTTTACAGCGTTTGGATCTTTCTTAACCTGTAGAATTGTGAACTTATTTCTTTTTCTGCTGCCCAGCAGGGCACTGAGGGAGGTAGGACTAGGATTATGCCATCTTTACCATGCTGGTTTTTGTTTCTACTCTGGTGATTCATAGGCCCTTCTGTTTTAAAAGAAAGGGCCATCGATGTTAATTTCCTTCTCCAAGGAGGCCTGAAATGTGTAACGGTCAAACCACCAAGAGAACACAAGAAGGCGCCTTTCCAGCGGGTACACAAATGGCAGGTCCTCAGAGGAACCTGCAGCTGGCAAAACCTAGGACTCCTTTCCACAAAGTCTGTTTTGGACAAAGTTGAATGCTCTGTTTCTGCAAGTCCCAGAGTTGGGGGGCATGTTGGAGGGTTCTATTAGGGTTGAAAATTTGCCAGTGACAGACACTGAGCAGTGGCAGAGGGGATGGGAGTGGGAATGGCAGAGATAAACCTTCCTTTATTCTTTCAGCATTTGCTGCAATCCTCTGCTCACTATGTGCTCAGCCTGAGCAAGTTGCTCAGCGTGGCTGCAAAGATGTGCCTTGTTCCAAAGAACTCAAAATTGATGAGGATGGGTACGATTTTATACGCAGGTGGCTAAGTAGCTATAGACACCAGTGGGTGAGAGCATTTTTGTTGGTTTTAATTTTTAAAATATCTTTTGATTCCTTTTATGGGACAGGCACTGACTCATAAGTATTTTACATGTTAGATCTGTCAGTTACTAACTAACTTAATAGCATACTTAGGATGTAGAACTTTGGAAAGACCCAAAGTTCAAGGGAAGAATGTGTGAGAGGTTAGCCTTGGGTGGAAAATACATCTAGAATGAAGCCTGGAGTTGGGGTCTGGATAATTGTGAGTGCCAGGCAGGGAGCCAAGTTTCTCTGTGGGGAAGGTAAACACCCTCCTCTTACAAATGGCAGCTGAGCCACCAAGTAATGAAATGGTAAGTTGACTAGAAAGTGCCAGAACCAGGAGCCCGAAGCAGGCTCATTTACATGTGCTACATTCACACTGCAGGCAGCTCTTCAGGAACTGGGAGGCAGAGTGGCTGGAGGGTGGGGGAGCCCAAGAAAGAACTGGTCTCT